GGCTACGGGAGGTGCGGAGCAGCTGCTCCCCGTGCTCCAGGGCTGCGGGTGGAACCCGGGGCAGGGAGGCTCGGGCAGGACAGAAGTAGTTTGAAGCGCTACCCTCGCTCGCTGTGTCGCTTGCCAGCGCAGCCCGGGCCCATCCCCTCCTCCCACCCTGGAGCTCCTGCTTTCCCAGCGCCTTCCTCCCCAGCAGGACCCAACCCCTCAGTGTCTGGCTTGACCCTGGGCTGGTTACAGCAGCAGGCAGAGCCCCTTCTGTTTTCAGCACAACTGTTTATTGATAATCTTCGCTTATCCACTGTATGAATGTTACCGAACTGTGAGACAGTTACCGAGCCAGCCTGCTTCCCCAGGGTCTGGTTCCGGGTAGTCAATGCGTGTAGAAATCATGCACTTCAGATATTCTGTAACAAGACAGGTGTAAAAAATATCTCGGATGTATTTGAAATCTCTGCCTTACCTTGCAATCTAATCACTGAAAAATCTGTAAAGAAACCTTAGGGGAGCGGGGCTGCGTTCCCTCCCAGGCAGGGCACAGAGGCGAGCGGTCCCCAGAGCCACGCCGAGGCCACCAAGCCCGGCACGGCCATTCCCCAACCGGAGGCGCAAGGACAGCGGTGAGCATCCACGACATGCTGTGCTTCACCTGGAGCGTGTCACAAACCGCACGGCAGCTCTGTACCCTGAAACCCCCCCCAAAACAAACCCTGGATGCTGGGCGACTTCAGGAAAAGCACGTTGGGTGCTGGGCAGGGTGGAGGGCTCGTTCCTTTAAACAGCCCCTGCCTTTGGAAACCTGTCCTTTGCTGTCAGGTACGCGTGAGCTGCCTCTCCGTGCGCTTGCCCTGGCCCAAGGAAAGAAGATGGCGCAGCAGCAGGAAGCGTGACCTCCTTTCTTCCCTGGCCTTTACGGACAAATGAAAGCCCTGCTCTGCATTCCCAAACAGCGTCCCTGCCCCTGTGGGGGCTTCCCAGCACGAGCGGTGAAAACCGGAGGTTGCAGATAAAGCAAGGAGGGGATTCAGGCAACTGGTAATGCCCTTGGTCGGCCGAAAGAGCAGGGCTCGGTGCATGCTGGCCCCTCAGGAGGGCGTATGTCAGGGTGCTGCCGGGCTTGCTGCCTCGCTGGGGCTGGGGGCACCCACAGCGGCGAGGGCCAGTGGGGAGGTGGCATCGTCCTCTTCTCCCTGCCCGTGTGGCAAAAAGGTTTCTCAAGGCAGGAGGGCCAGGGAGCCACGTGCCAGGGCCCTGCTGGCATGCGAGGGAGGGAATGGGAGCCCCTGGGCTTGTGGGGCAAGAGCTCTGTGCTGCCCCGGCTGCCCCAGCCCGAGCAGCCCCTGCCCAGGGGAGGTCGTTGTGCTCGCTGCAGCACCCGGCGTCCCTCTGTCTGTCCGTCCATCCAGGGACTGCAGCCGGGACAGGGGCAGGCTGAGCGCAGCACTGGGCTGCTTGGCAGGTTTGCCGGTTTGGGGTGGGTGGGGGTTTGCATGTGTGTGTTGTTTTTTGATGACCACGAGAAGTTTTACATTATTACATTCAAACGAACACCCTTGGCTTTGTTACTCTACTTCTGAACACCGCAAAACACAGTAGCAACATAACACGTACGAGAGTGGCGCTGCAGCTAACCACGGCGGGAAGGCGATGCGCTGTCGTGTTGGAAAACAACCCCTGAAGCCGACGATGGAAAGGAGGAGATGGGCGTTGGTACACGTTGCAGTTTCCATTTACAAGAGCCCCGGGAGGGAGGACCCGAGGCCGTGTGCTGGGAGGAAGCTTCCAGCGCGGCAGGCGCCTGCGTGGGGTGCTGGACCCGCGGCGG